TTACTATATATCCATCAGTAAAGACTTGTAGTTCTTTGTACATCTGTAGTGTTTGTGTCATTTGTGTCGTTTAAATGCTTTCAAATTCCCTTTTTGTTCATTTCCTTTTTCCTTTCTGCAGTGTGATGCATTGAATCAGAATCACTATGGCGTATTTATTCAAACCTTTGCATTGATAAGCTTTTCCTCTGTTGTTCTTCTTTTTATTTCTGCCTCATAGAAAGAAAAAAACGAACTGCTTCAGCAATAAATTGTTCATTTTGAATATAATATAAATGTGCATGAAGGATTACTGAAGTCAGTCCAATTCAAACACTTCACACTGTTGAGGAAATTTTGACCAAAGAGACCAAAGACCAAAATACGGACTAAAGTCTACACTAGTGGTTACTCTATTAGACTCTCTGTCAACAAAGTCAACCAATCACATGAGCATCAGAACCGGGAAGAAAACAGGCTGGGATTTTCTTACATAACTATCTCTAGGGTTTACAGCAAAAGTATCTGAATCTGAAAAAGAAAACGTGAGCATGCAGTATGCAGTGAGCATCTCTGAATGCTCTTCTGCACGGATTAGGAGGCAATAAATCAGCAGCAACTGTGTGACGCTGTCGTGTTAATATGGACCAAAATCTCTGAGAAGATTTTCCTCTGAGATGTTGTTAAAGCAATGCCATGAAAAAATTAGGTCAGTTCTGAAAGCCAAAATGGTCCAACCAAGTACAAGCAAGGTGTACCTAATGAAGTGGCCAGGAAGTGTATACTACAGTGTCCCAGTCTAAATCTTTAGGACTGCTCCAATAATAATCACAGTATTTCACTGGTACTCTGATAGACTCTGATGAACTAGAACATAACCAATTTCCTTCTTCTTCTTCTCCTGTTGGGGCTGTTAGAGTAGATTTCACTGTTACATCACTGTTATATTAAAAACAACATTTCTCTGCATAATTAGCAACTACTGTCCTACATAATATAGGATAAAGTAGTTTTCTGCTAATAACACAAGACAGTCTGAAAATCTCAACAGTCATCACAACGCTGTTTATTTTAATTACAAAAGGAAGGCTGTATAAACAATAACCTGGAAGAAACTATATTATTTGTGGACAGGTTGTTTCTAGATTATATGACTAACCACATACAAAAGGATAGTAGCCTTTATTACTGCAGCAGCACATGACTAAACATAATGACTTATATGTGCAAGGAAAAAGGGAAGGTCCAGAAATTCAGTCATTATCCAGGAAAACAGCAGATTTGCTCGTCTGTCCAAAAGCAAAAGGTGGCGCTGTTGAGCAAAAAAAGTGAATGCAGAGAAAAGTTGCTCAGTTGTGAATCACCAGAACTCATCAACATGACTTTCTTATTTCTGTGAATTTGTTGTGGGTGTTACTCCACAGCTAACCCAGATCAACAGATCCTCCGTCCACACAGTGTTTTGACTTCCTGCCTGAGCTAAAGTCTACACTATTTTATCCTTTGACTGTTTCTAACTAATCTACATAACTACACTGTGACAGGTCAGATGACGATGAACGAAAATTAACATTTGTGATAATTCAACATTTTAGAGACTGTTCAGGAGTCAACATTACAGAATGGTTTTGTTTGTGAGTCTTTCACACCAGACCATTTATTTATATTAATTGTATTACAAAAGTTGATTTTATAATTAATAATCAGCATTTACATCAACTTGTATGCTTTTCCACATGAGACAGAAAGACTAAGTTCAGCGCGGTTTCCCTGAAATTACAGCAGCCCGTTCTCACTCCCGAGGCTTAACATCCCGACGATTTGGAGAACGATTTGCTGCCACCTGCTGGCTAACCTGCAAACTATCGCATACATCTGTACATAAAATGTAAAAGCACAGCTTTAAAGTCCATCACTGGTCATTTTGGAAATTGAATCAACAAACTTCTTTATTTTTTTGACTGCACTTTCAACTGGTGTCAATATCCTACCATATCTATCGATCGATCGATCGATCGATCGATCGATAGATAGATAGATAGATAGATAGAATAGATGATGATGATATGATGATAGATAGATAGATAGATAGATAGATAGATAGATAGATAGATAGATAGATAGATAGATAGATAGGACTAATTTTACATTCCAGAAACTCATACATCATCATACATCAGTTTCTGTGAAGACGTGTGTGTGCCAACAAAGACCTTTTGCACATACAACAACAATAAACCATGGTTCACTCCTAAACTCCAACATCTTCGTAAGGCCAAGGAGGACGCCTACAGAAGTGGTGACAGGGCCCTGTACAAGCAAGCCAGGAACACACTGACCAAGGAGATCAAAGCAGCTAAAAGCATCTACTCCCAGAAGCTGGAAGAACGGCTCTCAGCCAACGACCCTGCGTCAGTGTGGAGGGGCCTGCAGGAAATCACCAGCTACAGACGCCCCCCACCCACTATTGAAGCAAACAAAGACCTGGCCAACGAGTTAAACACTTTCTATTGCAGGTTTGAGACGGACAGACTCCCACGCCCCACCCTCCCCTCCCCAGGGACATTGCTTCAGACATTGACCCCCAACACACCTTCCACCTCTCCCCCCTTCACCCTCCCCTCCCCAATCAAGACTCAACGACACCCCACCCCCCCCACCACCCTCCCCAATCCAGACTCAACGACCACCACCACCCTCTCCAATCCAGACTCAACGACCTCCACCACACCTCTCACCCCCCTTTCCTCCTCCCTGAAACTCAGAATACACACTCAGGATGTGAGCCGACTATTCCAGAAACAGAAGCCCAGGAAAGCCCCCGGACCAGACGGCGTCTCACCCTCCTGCCTCAAAACCTGTGCTGAACAGCTGGCTCCCATCTTTACTCGCATATTCAACAGATCCCTGGAGCTGTGTGAAGTTCCCTCCTGCTTCAAACGCTCCACCATCATCCCTGTTCCCAAGAAACCCACCATCACAGGACTGAATGACTACAGACCAGTCGCCTTGACGTCTGTGATCATGAAATCCTTCGAACGACTGGTGTTAGCCCATCTGAAAGACATTACAGGCCACCAGCTGGACCCTCTGCAGTTTGCCTACTGGGCAAACAGGTCAGTGGATGATGCAGTGAACATGGGGCTGCATTACATCCTGCAACACCTCGACCACCCGGGAACGTATGCCAGGGTCCTGTTTGTGGACTTTAGTTCGGCTTTTAACACTATTGTGCCTGAACTTCTCTCCTCCAAACTCTCCCAGCTCAGCGTGTCACCAGCTACCTGTCAGTGGATCACCAGCTTCCTGACAGACAGAAAGCAACAAGTGAGGCTGGGGGAGATCACCTCTGAAACTCGGTCCCTCAGTATTGGTGCCCCTCATGGATGTGTCCTCTCACCACTACTGTTCTCCCTCTACACTAACGACTGCACCTCCAAGAACTTGGCTGTTAAACTCCTAAAGTTTGGAGATGACACCACTGTCATTGGCCTCATTCAGGATGGTGATGATACTGCACAGGAAGTTGAGCAGCTGGTACTCTGGTGCAGTCAGTACAATCTGGAGCTGAACACTCTTAAGACTGTAGAGATGACAGTGGACTTCAGGAGACATCCCTCAACTCTGCTCCCCCTCACCATATCAGACAGCCCTGTGTCAACTGTGAAGACCTTCAAGTTCCTGGGTACAACCATCTCCCAGGACCTGAAGTGGGAGACCAACATCAACTCCATCCTCAAAACGACCCAGCAGAGGATGTACTTCCTGAGACAACTGGGGAAGTACAGTCTTCCACAGGAGCTGCTGATTCAGTTCTCCACTGCGGTCATTGAGTCTGTCCTGTGCTCCTCCATCACAGTCTGGTATGGAGCAGCCACTAAACAGGACAGGAGCAGACTGCAGCGGACTGTACGGGCAGCAGAAAGGATCATCAGCGCCCCCCTGCCCTCCATCCAGGATCTGTACCTCTCAAGAACCAGGAAACGGGCAGGGAAAATCATCACAGACCCCTCACACCCTGCACACAGACTTTTGATCTGCTGCCCTCTGGCAGACGGTACAGAAGCCTGCAGACCAGGACCACCCAACACAGGAACAGTTTCTTTCCCCTCACCATCTCCCTTCTTAACAGTTGACCTGTCACACTGCTCCCACTGCCAGACTGCAGCTGCACCTTATGTACATTTTGTAGTATTCATTCCACCTCATTCATTTCTGTATTTTATGTATATAAGTTTAGATTTGTTATTTATAGTTGGTTTACACAGCTTTGTGTATGTATGTGTAATGTGTGTATATAGACACGTGTGTGTGTGTGTGATTTATATTGCTGTGCTTGAGAGCCACCATCTACCGGAACCAAATTCCCTGTATGTGTCTGCACATATACTTGGCCAATAAACACGATTCTGATTTTAGCACCTCATCTTCTTTTCTACATCATGTGGTACCATGGTGATGTTCTCTGATAAGATGTGAATGTGTTTCGTAGGACAGAAACTCAGAATAAAACCCAGATTCTGCTCCATAGTCTAGGCCTCTGGTGTCCTTGCAGTAAAATGAGTGATCCTTCCTGTTTATACTTCACTTTATGTGATCATATGCAAACACAGCCTTTCTTAACATTTGATTTAATTTTTAAAATTCAAAACACTGCTGACATTCCTCTTGCTCGACACAGGTAAAGTTTCTTGCTTAGAGATGGTAATAAAAAATTACATATCAGGATGTTATAAACTTTTCTGGCCCTTACCAGATCTTAAAATTAGGTAAATGCAACATCAGATGAACAAAAACACGACATATTACAACATGACATTGTTTGTTTAATAAAACTAAACCAAAATTCAAAAACAATGTGTAAAAAAAACAAAAAACAAATGCAGTCTATGAATCAGTAGCTTGTAGAACCACCTTCAGCAGGAATGACTACGTATGCACTTTAGCAGCCTCAGATCACTGTGGAGGAATTTTAGCTCACCGTTCTTTACACAGTTAAAGGGTTCAGAGCTGGACTTTAACTCTCTGCAACACAAGACCCAGTTTCAGTAAAGACAGACAGATGGCCTCACATTTGAATAGTTTGGTACACAGAGGTGGTCATGGTCGACTCAGTGACCACACCACCGTGTCTGACAGCTGATTGGTGTTTCTGCTGATGCTGTGCTCGTTTTCTCCAAACATGGTGCTGTGCATGATAGCTAAACATCTCCACCTTGGCCGGGTCAGAAGTCTTGTTCAGATACACTTTAATCAACCTAAGTCATGCTGTCACATTGTTTTTAGAAGCAGAAGAGACTTTCTGCTAGCAACCCTTCCAAACAAGCCATACTCGTCAAGTCTTTTTCTGTTTTTTGTTTGTTTGTTTTTTTGCACTCTTTGAACATCGCACAGTCCGACCTTGGGATCATGAGACGTCAACTTCTGGGAAGCGTGTGGCATTGTGTTAACTCACAGGTGAGAGCTCTGGACCTTAAAAATGGTCAAACCTCTGCTTTTATAGAGGTCCACACACATGCTGATGATAAATTAATCAAATGAATTTGACTAGCAGGTGCTGCTAACCTCCTGCATTTTGGCTTAGCTTCTGTTAAATTGGGACAAAGTGTAGTAGGCCGTGTGTTTTTACACATCCAAAGTTGCCTTTCCCCATTTTTAACAACTGGTGAGGACCAGATGATTATTTTAATTTGTCCTGATATAAAAAAAAAATAAAAAAAAAAACCCTTAGAATTGAATGAGGATCTGCTTTTTTACCATTACTACAAACCCGTCTCTTGACATTTCTAACATATGACTAATTTTAATTATTTTGATTTCTTCCATTTATCAAAATTAATCTGCCATTAGAACTTCTTACAAATGCTGTGGTCCTACTGAGGTTTTGCCATTGGTTTCTGCAGGAGAATGAGCTCAGCAAAATCCCACACAGCTCCTGATCCCCTAGAAAGGGGGCAGATGTACTTTGCAGCCTTTGAGGCCAACTCTGGAGCATCCCCGGGTACAGCACTCAAACCTGCCAGCTTCAGCAATTTCTCATCTGCTTGATCAAAACCTGAGGGGGGAACAGAAAAACATAGTGAGGCTAAACTGAAATGATAACTCTCAAGAAATAAGAGTGCAGTTGTTTTACCCATGAATGCCACATGTTTCCAGTCCAGACTCTTGTTCTTCATGACCTCTTGCAAATCGTTCAGCGGCTTCTTTCCCACCTCCATGACCTGGCACCCTGTCCTTTTTTGAAGTTTGGCAGCCAAAGACTGGGCCACAGCGTCATCACTGGAGGTCAACAGAATGACCTTGTGAAACAAGACAGAGGGCAGTTTGTGGGCAATGTTATACATGACGGGTCAGTTTACTCAATTCTGTTCAGACAGCTGATGAAAAAAAAAGCCAACCTCCACTTGTTTTTCCTGCAGCATGTGAATAGCAGATGTGTTTCTGGTATTACTAGACAGAGCGTTGATTCCTTCTGCTAAACATGCAGAAACATTGCAGAACAGCAGGCGGACTACCTTACCGGGGTACCCGTACCTGATTGAGGAAGCATAGATTAAAGAGAAAAGGAGTCGACAGTTGATTAAAAGCAGACTGAGAGGCGCTTCTCACCTGAGAACCCTCTGTTCTGCAACAGGCCAGTCGATGTCTCCATCTATGTCCACACTGAACTCCGGCAGCATCTCATAGTAGATCGACTTACCGCCCTAGAGAGGTGAAAATGCAAGGGTGACAAAAATATGCAGTTACCTGAATGAAAGATTGTGTAGTTTCATGCACTGGTACTTGAGGCACAGTTTTGCCCCATTACCTGCAACTGTCCCGTCTTAATGAGATCTTTTGTGGTGAAGTAAAACGAGCCATTCTCACACAGCTCTCCGGGCCAGTCCTGACGCCGCGGCCGGTTGGCTGGGTCCAGATTTATAGCCTCAGTTTTTTCATCAGCTAGGAGGAGGAAAGAGGCTCAATTACATAAATTGAAGGATTAAAAGCATATGACTGAATAGAGTTTCAAAAATCAAACTTAGTGGAAACTCAGGCTATCATTGCAGCAGCCATGTAACTAAATTTGGAAAGAGGAAAAACATAAAATGAACCTAATAACAGAGTTATTGGTTGTTATCAATTTGATAGTGAGTGCTCATTTTCTGTATTTCATGTATCCAGAATTTTAAAAGCCAAGGCAAAACCTTCATCACTCAGGACTAGGATCTTCATCTCGCCGATCTTTCCATTTTTAGTTTCACCTTCAGGTAATCAATTCTTTCCTCTATTGGTGAAGTGGTACTAGCTACAACATGAGCCCAAAGCATTCCCGATCCATACTTGTGTACATAAGTTTTCCACGAAAATGAGAACAGCACGTTGCCACTCCTCAGTCCGCCAGTCTTCCTGAAAGCCTTTTGCAGTTACACCAGGAGTTCAGATTTCTAGTGAAGAACAACAAGCAACTCTAAAAAGATTTCTTGATCTTCCAGACATCAACTAATGCAACATTTATAGTCCTGCATTGCTATAGGTCTTTGACTAGACAGTGAGGATGACTGTGGGAATTTAGGGAGCAAAATTCTTTGTTTAATGCAAAGAGCTTTAACTAGAGGAACAGAACAAAAACAGCCAGATGGTTGTTCCTCATATTTGAGGCCAGGCCCCTCTAAGACGGTAAACCACTTTAACATGTAAAGTTGGGCCTGCTGTGACAGACAACCTACACACAATACCACCATACCAACTGATATCTAATTAATTAATTGATGTCACTCTAACATCTAAAATTCAAAGGCTGTGAGTGATCAGTTGTTTGTTCAGACAGGAGAATATTCGAGTTGCATTGGTAGGATTTGTTTCATCCCAGTTAATAAGTTACTAAGGTGGAGGTCCACTGGCACATTCAAAGTAGGTCCACACAAAAAAAAAAGAAAAAAGATTTTGCAGAACTGACAGACTGCAACTTGTAAAGATATGCACATAGATCTATTTAGCAAAACAACAAATAAAACATCAACGAACCAAGACTGTCTAAAATTACTTCAAATAGGCTGTTGTAATGTCATTTACAGATACAATATAATGTCAATATTATTCACTCACTTATCCAAATAATTGAATTCAGGTGTATAAAATCAAACACCTACTATTACACCTACAGGATGCTACCTGTGCAGCAAGTCCAGTTGTGAAATTTCCTTGCTATTAAATATTTCAGTCAGCTGTTTGTGGTTTTATATCCAAGTGGAAGCAACTGAAAGACAGCAACTCGCCTACAAAGTGGTAGGCCACATAAAATCACAGAGCAGGCTCAGCTAATGGTGAGGCACACAGTGTGCAGAGGCTGCCAATCGCTTCAGACCTCCAAACGTAACATGGCCTGTAGACTAGCTCAAGAACAGTGCATGCTATGAACAACTGTCTGTGAACTCAGCATGCACATAACAGTCAAACATGTGTTAACTTACATAATTCATCTACCTCCTTCCACCGAAACTGGTGTCTCCTGACCACTGAAAAGACGGAGTCATAGCCGTCCTCTGTGATCTTTTTTAAGGCCTCCTTCACATCGAACGGGTGGAGGCACGGGGATGTAGCCTGGATGTTGCAAACTATATCCACCTCTGTGAAAACAAAAGCCAAAGAATTTTCAACTGTGTGGCAGAAGAATGATGCTCGTGAAACAACAGCGTAAAAACTGATTCTTTGACACGTCAGCAGTTTTGCGTGATGGGAGGGGCAGCTGTGGGTTGGGGTGTACCTACCATTATGGTATTCGAGGAACTCTTGGATAGTTTCTAATGATGAAGTAGAGTCTCTGGAGACTTCAGGACTCCTCTGGTGCACCTGAGCACCCCATGCCTCAGCAACTTTCTTAATCTCGGCATGGTCAGTTGATACCCACACACTGTGAAAGAAAAGACGCATTGTTGTTGTTTTTATTGCATTTCAAATAGGCATGTTGCAACAACAAGAAAGTTGTAGAGAGCCCTCTGGTGAAAAAACTACACAATATAAACACTCATAGCATGGTTGAAGGGTGCTTCTCTTCTTCACGTTTCATTTTTATTTATCGGACACTATAAAGGCCCATACTGACAGATGGACAAATTGATAACAGTGGGCAAACATATCCACCAACAAATAAGTCGGCTGAGTAACCCCATCACTCAGACCGCTCACACATGGACTCTATACACACACACACACATAGTCCTTTGCGCTACTTCAAAGCACTTTGTTCTCCAATTTCTCCCTTTCTCTTCTTTTGTATATCCCTCTTGATTGTGTATATGACGAATCTGTGGATGCAACACGGAGAGTGGAATATGTAAATAAATCTAACCAGTAATAATAACCCGTAAAAATCAGTTAGCCTGGAACACCGACTCAGAGTAGATTGATGAGCCATTCATTAATACTTAAAGAGCCACCTATAAGAAACAGGGAAATGCGCAGTAGGGTACAATGATCATCCCATGTGGATCTAATTTGAACTGGTGGTTCCACAGGGACATGGAGGAGTCTCGAGTCCAGCAGACACAGAGATATGAGCTCCTTGCAGCTCTAATTCAGTTTGAAATCACCGTCACACATTTGCAACGTACCTATCAAACACTTCGGAGTCCACAGCAGCCCTCAGCACCCATCCCATGAGGGGGACACCGGCTAAGGGCTTGATGTTTTTAAGCGGAATGCCTTTGCTTCCCCCCCGTGCCAAAATGAGAGCAGCTACATGTCTCTTCTGGTTCTTGTTGGAAGAAGCAGCTACTTGTCTCTTCTTCTGTTTCATGTCGGAAGAAGCAGCTCCGTCCGCATCGTTGTCATCGTGTCTTCGCTTAGCGGACATTAAAGCGGTTCTTGTGGTTAAAAACAGACTTTTGGGGCAAAAGGGAGGAAATGAAGCTGCTGGAAACAAATTCTTCTTCTTCTTTATAGGGTTTACTGGCGGTTAGCAAACAGCAAAATGGTGCATTACCGCCACCAACTGGCGTGGAGTGTGGACCGAAATGACAAATAAATAAATAAAAAAAAATCCTCCCAAACAAACGAGTCTGCCTTAAAAACGAAAATATGGCCTGCTAGCTTTCACTCACTGAGTTCTTGCGAAATAAATCAACCAATTCCAGTTTTACTTTAATATCGTCAAGCTTTTTGATCAGTTGTCTTCTTTCATCATCATGCTTCTGACACTGCAATAAAACATGCAGTCACGCTACGCTGTAAAGGTCTCTGTCGTTGTGTCTTTGGGCGAGACACTTCACCCGTTGCCTATTGGTGGTGGTCAGAGGGCCCGGCAGCCTCGCCTCTGTCAGTGCGGCTGTGGCTACAATGTAGCTTTCCATCACCAGTGTGTGAATGGGTGGATAACTGGATGTGTAAAGCGCTTTGGGGTCCTTAGGGACTAGTAAAGCGCTATATAAATACAGGCCATTTACCATTTACCATATTACAGTCCCATTTTCCTGTATGGCTCTTTCCTGTTAAAAATAACCTGCTGCCCAAATCTAAGTTGTGATTTAACTGTCTCATCTCTGCTGTTTTCCTTTGGATTTTGTAAAACCATCTTCCTTTTCTTTCTTCGTACCATTGCTTTTGCCACCTTTCCTTCATTTTCTGCTTTATTATGCCCTTTTTCATTGTCCCGCTGACACCGATAACCACATCCTCTGAAAGACTTTTTGTGGCTTTCATACCCTTTAACTCCACAGTGTGCTGGTACCCAAAAAAGGTCTCCTTAAGCCAAATCAAGTGTTTTGTGAATTTCTATCAGGATGTCTGCTCTGCTGTCTGAATTACAGCACTGTAAACCGGTTAATGATGAACTTGACTCTAGGCATATCACTGCTCTTTATGGCCTTGTGTCTTCTCTATTGAGTAGGTAAAAGGTATTGAAAGCATTTCTCCTGTGTATACTGATGCCCCAACCAGAGGCGGTGTGTGGCACCCAGGTTTTGCATATGACAATATTGCTTATTAATATAAGCTAGCACTAAGACTTTGAGCTTAGCTACAATTAATGCAGAATATGAATTCAAAAACTGCATATATTTAAAAAAAATGGTTCAGCGCGTAGTCTGAAACTGCATTATTTCTATATTTATATAAATATAGAAACATTTTTATTTCTATATTTATTTATTAATCAACATCACTGGCAATTTAGATTACAACAGAGGTGCTTGATTGCTAAACTCTGGAAAAGCCATGAAGGTGTGAGTTATTCACCTAATAAATCATGAAAAAAAATGAGGTTTGTTCATGACAGTGCAGATTTTTGACTTTTTTTTGTAAATTTAAGCATGAAAAAGAAGATTATTTCTGTGTATGTGTATACTTGCTGTACTTGATGTATTTTAACCAATGATATAGTACACAAAGAATATAACACCTGCATATGTGTAAAGAAATGGCTTTGATTTTGTCACCCTAAGAAACTTTCTCTAGATCCGCCACTGACCCCAACACTGATCCTTTTCCTGCTTTGGCATGAAAACCATGCGCAACAAATGCCATTGCAGCTGGGTTTGTTGGCTTTGGTGCATCTGTATATATTTGGACATAACTGTAAAACTGACCCATGCATGCAAGTTTAAAATGATACTTACTGTCCACACAGAGCTCTTTATCCCTCCTTCCTCTTCCCAGCAGGGTTTAAGCACATCTTGTGTTGGATGATCTTGTCCGTGTCTCCTGGCATTTCTCCGTCTACCTGTAACCCTACTGCTGGGTTGTTTTAAAATCCAGGAAGCATGTCAAAGCAGTCATCCCCAGTGTGCACGCGCCTTCTAGTGGTCCGCGAAGGTATTGCAGGTGACCCGCAGTAAAGACAGAAACGATTGCATAGTTATATACATGTATTCATTTCTATAAAAATCGACTTAAAGCTGCTTTCTGATGTTACATTCCTCTCACCTGAATTTTCCCTTACACGGTAGTTTGTTTGGGGATGACACACTGGCCTTATTAAATCCCCTCAGTCAGTTTGCAGATAGGAGCTTTAGTTTGTATCAATTTTGCTACATCTGGCATTTTTGGTGCAATTTATTGCTTCAAAATTGAATATGGAATTAATCCAGGTTTTTGAAGAAAAAAAATCCATATAAAAATCATGCCAATTGCAAAAGTCGCCATCAAGTGTGGGATTTACTGAGGAAATGCTCTGCCCCCACTGCTGTGCTACATAGGTCTGAACACCCTCAGCAAGATAACTGATTATGGAATGGAGCAGTCTTGAGCCACATCCTCTCTGACATCAAGATGTATGCCAGGAGGGAACGAGTTACTGATTGACTGATCCACACCACTAGTATGGATGCCTACCCTTACATGTGAGAAATGTGTTCACCTGAAGCATGATTGCATGCTCCCTCCTTTCAGTGGTGGTGGGGATGAATAGAATAAAATCATTCTATTTTATACTATTTTCATATTCATCTTTGGAGGACACAAGGCCCTGCGTTGGCTAAGCATTTGACCTTGTTAGTGCCCAAGTTCAAAGCTAACCTTGAAAAATTTTTCAAGAAATTGTAAAGAGTAATACAACATCAAGGTGATGCCATAACTACCTGAAATTATCATATTTTAATTGAAACAGGCGGATGTCAACATGTTGTAATGAAAACATCCCAAAACATCCAAGTATTAGTTTAGCTCTTGCCCTTCAAGGGCAGTTGTGCTCTCTGGGTGCTCTTGTTGTTATAGTCATTTTGTAATATTTCCTCATACCTCTCCTTCAGGCTACATGCATTTCTCTGTAGTAGATCATTAATTTATCCCTTTTATCACAAAGCCATCGGACACTTGCTGAACAGGACTTGCAGACAACACCATTCATCCATGCCAAAAATTAAATATTGACTCAAACATCCTAGTCAAAGGCACACACCTGCAGTGCAAACAGAATTTAGAAAGGCACCACTCTGTGTGGTTTTCCTCTCATAGCAGCTGGACAGAGGGAAATATAGCGAAAAGCCTCTGTTTGAATCCAGTGTATACAGAAATATGAATCTATTTAGATTTTTAAAAGAGACAACCCCATTTCCTTTCATTGATCAGGATATTACATCTGATTTTTAAAAAACATGTACTTCATTGTCTCATGGAGTGTTTTTACTAATCTTTCTGGAAGCAGCCCTGTAGAGACTCCAGCAGGTTTGATTTTCAACCATATCTCCAAACACACACAACCTCACAGAGACTTTCTTATAGATTAGTAATTTACACCTCACACCTCACATTGTTAGGTGCATCTTTTCATTTACTCGTTAACCCAAATATCTAATGAGCTAGTCACATGGAATAAGTGGTCAACAGAGCCTGTTTAGATTCAAACCCAGCATCAAAATGAGGAAGAAAGGGGACTTTGAACTTGACATGGTTAGTGGTGTGAGTATGTCAAAAGATTACAGAGGATGGTCTGAAAAGAGAACATTTCCAAAATTGAGGAATTGTTGATGCCAGAGGTCAGAGGAGAGGGGCCTGATTGCTTTGAGCTGACAGGAAAGCAGCAGTAACTCGAATAACCACTCATTTGGTGCAGAAGAGCATCTCTGGTCTGGTCTGGTCAACAGCAGCAGAAGACCACACCAAGTGCCACTCCTGTCAGTTAAAAACAGGAAACTCGGGCTACAATTGATACAACCTCATCAAAGCTGGACAATAGAAGACTCGAAAAACTTTGCCTGGTCTGATGAGTCGCAATTTCTGCTGATACATTTGAATGGTAGGGACAGAATTTGGCATAAACAAAATCAAAGTATGGCTCCATCCTAGCTTTTATCGATAGCTCAGGCTGGTAATGATGCTGTAATGATGTTGATAGATATTTCATGGCACCCTTCAGGTCTCTTAGTACCAATTGAGCATCATTTAAACGCCACAGCCTACATGAGAATTGGTTGCTGACCATGTCCATCACATTTGTTCCACAGTCACCAGATCTCAGTCCACTAGAGCACCTTCGGGATGTGATGGATCAAGACAGTCTCATTGTGGATGTGCAGCCGATAAATCTGCAATAACTGTCAGCTGCTGTCATGTCAAGTGCCACAAAGAAGCTCCAACCTGGCAAGGGTGTGCCTAATAAAGTGGCTGGTAAATGACATTTGCGGATGCACCTGCAGTCGTCAGTCAACTTGCACAAAAAATGAACGATAAACAGCACAATTGTCACTTTTGCTGTTTCAGTATTGGTTCTTCGTGCAGAAACAACCGAATGTTGATGATCTGTCATATTGAAAAATCACATCAGGGAAGCTGGATAGAAAGACAAATAACTCTCTTTCCCAAAATAACTGGGAACTGTAGTTTTTACCAAAAAGGACTTCAAGTGCCTTTTACTTAATGAGTGCTTTAAAGAATATTTGCCACTATAAGGCTTTGGATAGCCGACAATAGGATAAGTGTTTTCAATTTCTGTGCATTTTGGGATTAAAATTAAATTAGAGCTAAAAAAAAAAAAAGGATTTGCCATTATGTCAGCATTTGTTAAGAATTTAGTTTCTGTATTCAATCATCGTTTCTGGTGTTTCTGGTGTCTCTGGTGTCTCCAGTTTATTTTTAAAAATGTTTGCTGGTAACTTGCTTTGTTTTTCTTCTTCACCTTTGTTCTCCTTCCTTCATCATTATCGTTTTCACCCAGCCAGAGTAGTTTCACTTACACGTCTTTGCACTTTCCAGTCAGTCCTGTGTGTGTGCAATTTTGTTCCTCCGGCTCCTCCCTGTGAGTTTATCCTGTGCTCAGTTGTCTGCATGCCACAGGGATGAGTTTGTCCATTTAAAGCTCTCAATGAATTGATGACGGTTTAACTTATGAGGAGATGAGAAGGAATTATTGGTTAGATCAAAAGGTTAAATCCTTGCCAGATGGCTCCAAGTTTAATGCCATTTACAAACATCCTTAAAGGAAAGTAGTAAGGCCTTGTAAGGGAACTGAAGACTTCTTTATAGGATTATGACACCTC